GGGTCCTGGGTTTCCCTGCAGCATCAAATATGATATTACAGCAACTCCTCGTCAGGTATCTGGTTTAGCCTGGTGGTATGCTCCTCTATGAAGGCACAAGGGGATCCCTCATCTCTGTGGAGAGTGTCATCACCCTGCCCTGAGCCTTCTACCGGGGAGATGCTGAGATTCAGATCTGCTCCGTTCCGTGGACACTGGGCACGGAGGGAGCAGTCCTGGTGTCTCCCAGCTCTGGATAACAGCTCTCTCTTCCAAAGTGCGGATATGGAATCCAGTCCCACACTGAAAGCAGAGGTTGCCTGGCCACCTGCAAACTGCTCAGCCCGCCCCGGCCCTGCGCAGGGAGCTCCCAGTCGCTCTAGTGCATGTCCTTTAAAGGCCTTCTTGCATCCAGCTCTTCCCTGGCAGTTCCTTCTGCCGCAGATGCGGTCGCTCTCCCTTCCAGGGAGACTCTGCCGCCAGCAGCTTGCACCGTGTGGGGCCCCGGCACCCCTTCATCCAGCATCTGCCGGCCACGCCAGCAGACCCTGACCCCCTCCCCGGTCTGTCAGGGACCCGACAGCGCCGAGTGCCGGGTCCGAGCTGGGTGGCCCCAGCATCTGCCTTCAGCTGCTTGAGACAAGTTCAGGCAGGTAACGACCCGGGGAGCGTTTGGTAAAGTCGCTCGGTCTGGCTTCCCATGGGATTATTTGTGCCACGCTGGGCAAACAAGCTGTGGGCCTCCGTGCTTCCATCCGAAAAACAAAGATAAGGAGTGAGTGTCTGTAAGGCTGTCTGAGCTGTAAGAAATCAGCAGGCTGCAGGCTCTGCCATGGCTGTTATGGAGCGAGTGCTTTGCAGCAGGGATCAGCCCTCGGGAAAACTTTGCTCGCTGATGTGATGAGCTTGGCAGATCTCTGGTGGCTGGGGGCTCCTGGGCCCTGGGGTGGAGGTGTTGGGAATAATTTCCAAGAGATAGGCATGAAATGGGCTTATTTTGACAGATGCCAAGTGCTGCTGGCTTTTACATCTCCGTCAGAGCTGAGCAGGCTCTGGGAGACAGGTGACGTTCCCCCTCGGCACGGGGGCGAGGTGGGTGGTGGGCCCCACTCAGTGCTGGGGTGACTGAGCTTGACCAAGGCTAGTCCCTGCCCTCTGTCCCCTTAAAGCTCTGCTGCATATCATGTCCCAGCCTTTAAAAATCTTCCCTATATCTGCGTGTCCATGGGCACAGCTCCCAAGGAGACGTGTCCTGCAGGAGAGCCCCTTCTGCATGCTGACTTTACCCTGGGCTGGGAGAGGGGCTCTCTGGACTTTGACGTCTTTCCTCTGATTTTTAAAACATTGCAGAAAAGCTTAAATGAGATGCTCAAGTTCCCCTGGACGTGGGAATCTTCTATTTGACTATCTGGGAGCTGGCCTGGCAGGGGGATGCTCAGGGATTGGGCTGTCCCCTGCCTGGGGTACAGTGGGTTGCTCCTGCTCTGCATCACGTGCTCGCACTGGGAGGTGGGTAGAAGCTTATCTTCCCCCACGGAGATGGCCCACATCATGAGCTCCAAGCAAGGATCGCCCTGTGGGAGGGAAACGGGGGTGGTGAGCGGGAAAGTCCACCCTTCAGTGCTGCACAGAAATGGGGCTTGTAATAAATTCCTCATTCGCCTTGCTCCGTGCCCGCCTTGAATCCCAGCAGCATCCTCCTGAATCGCAACGGGCCTCCCCACCTCTTTTCCCACAGATGCCTCCACACTAAGCAGAGGAGCTTGGAGCTCCTGCTGGGTGAGAAAATGCTTTAAAAATATAACGTTTAGAGGCGTTCTCCCATCTGCGCGCAGCTAATATGTGTCTCTCGTGATAGGTGTGCTGGTCCTGGAGCCTCTGTGCTCGGCAAATGAAGGCGCTTGCAGGGACCTCGCTGGGAGAGGGGGAAGCGGAGGCGCAGGGACTCACCCAGGGGCACCGGCGGCAGCAGAGGAGGAGCTGCCGACCCAGCCCCTCGCCTCGGAGGTATGTGTACCGACTGCTCTCACCCCACGGCTCTCCGGGTGAGGACGGGACAGGGATGGAAGTGCCAGGCAAGGGGGAGATGCTGGCTGGAGCGTCGCCCCGCTCCAAGGCACTGAACATCATTTTGCCATAGCGGCCCCTCTCCTCCTGCAGAATGACCCCCGGGCTTGCAGTGATGAGAGGGGAAAGCCCTGTTGTAGCCCTTTCCAGAGCCTGGAGCAAAGTTTGGGGGGTCAAACCGTTTCCCAGTTAGGTCTGAGCTCCAGCACAAGGCCGCAGAGTGCTGTTTGCACAGCAGTCCCTGTATCTCCACTCGCAGGAGACTTGCCATGCTTGTTGTGCTCCAGCATCCCCATCCCTAGCAAACAGGGATGCTACTGACCTCCCAGACTTCCTTGCACCTGGGACAGGGTTTTGGGGTGGTACAGTTCTGGTTATCAGAACTGTACCAGTTTATTCTGGTACCGTTTTGGGGGTCAGGAGTGTGTGCCAAGGCCTGCTGTCCCTGTGGCAGTGACATGAGATGGTGCACGGGCTCTGCCAGCAGCTGGGTTTGTTGTGGTGCCTGTGAAGAGGCTGGCTTGAAGCAAGGTCTGCTTGGCAGCCAGGGCAAAAAAAAAAACCCAAAACCTAATAATGTGCTGAGGAGAAGCACGGCCGTGGGCCGGTGACTCATTCCTGGCTGGAAACGGCTTCGGCGGGCTCCTCGGTAGCAGCTTTGCAGCGGCAGTGTGAGCG